TGTGGAAGACAGCATCAGAGAACGAGAGGATGAGCCACAGACGGGAGAAAATACTTGCAAAAGGTACATCTGACAAACGAGTGTTATTCAGACCATAGAGAGCACTCTTAAAACTCAACAGTAAGAAACCCAACAACCCAGTTACAAACGGGCCAAAGACCTTAATGGACACCTCACCGAAGAACAGGTCCGGAAGGCAACCGAGCGCATGAAAAGGTGCTCCAACCCCAAAGCGCAGACCGCGGCGTCACGAGGCTGGGCCAGGGCGGCCAGGGGTGGCGTGCACCGCACATGGAGGGCGGGCTGCAGGGGCCTCCCTCGACTGCAAAACAGCAGCTAATACCAGGGCTACACCTGGGGGCTTGTCGGGGGGTAATGGGAAAGGCCACGTCCGGAGTCGTGCATGCTCGTGGTGATGCTCAGTAAGTGACTGTGTTACTTGGTCTGGTCTTACGATGAAAACTGTTTTAATGATGAAACAGATTTGAATGGTTATTAATCCAGTGACCCAGGTCTCCCTTGTTCAGGTAAAGAAATACTTCTCCAGCTTCCTTGTACATGTTCTGCCTCACAGAGGATCTTGCACGCTCACTCAGGGTGGTCCCTGCCTCCCCGTGGGGCCCGCACAGCACTGGTGGAGGGTGCTGGATGGTGGCTCCTTCTCAGCCTGTGTGGGTGATGGGCCTGAGCTTCTACCAAGTTCTCCTTCAACCTTCGATGCAGCCTTCGGTGATGGCCAAGGAAGTTGGGACCACCTCCAGGTCAGAGGCCCTGGACAGCACTGCCCAGCACTGCCCTGGGCGGGAGTGACCAGGCGCCGGTCACAGCAAGTCTGGGTTGGCCCGGGGGACATCGCAGGTCACAGCTGTCCTGAGGAAGGGGCAGAGATGGCGGAGAGGGCGTCTCGCGTGTCTGAAGCCTCATGAAGGAGGGGGCGTCGCGATTGTCACTGTGACTGCCCCCACTTGGAACAGGGCTGATGTCCCGTGGACACGGGCTGCCTTCAGCTGGCAGCGGGCATCCAGAGTCTCAGGAGCGCGGCCCGGCTGCGGTGTCCAGAGGAGGGTGGGGGCTGTCGGCAGGGTCGCCGGGACTCCGTGAGAGGCTTGCGAAGGGCACCTGAGTCTCAGTCACGTGGGGAGCGGGCCTGTGCTGGTGTGGACAGGCTAGAGGAAAAGCGGATTTTCTTTCAAAATCCAGGTGTGACACCTCTGAGGGAAGGCCGCAGCTGTAGATGCTTGGGAGCGTTTTCTCCCACCGAGGCCTATTTCGAGCAGCGTTTATGGTAAGAAAAAGCAACAGGCCAAGGGATGGGAGCCTCTGCTTTGCTCCCGAATGTCCTCAGCTTTGCGTGAGTGCAGGCAGACTCCCCAGCCTGACCGGCCGGAGACCATCACACGCCCTGCGGGGCCGCCTGGGGATCAAGGCCAGTTCAGACACCACGACGACGCAAGAGACAGAGAAAGACAGAGGGGTGTTCCCGGTGGGAGGAGGCTGGGGTCACTGCCCCGCGACACATGGGCTTGTCCTGGTGAAGACGCCGCGAGGACGGCACTGGGAGGTGGACGGCAGTCCAGAGAGCAGCACTAGGTCGCAGAGGGAGTGCCTTCTCTTAGGAAACACACTCTCACAGCCACCAGCTGAAGAGGCACATGTGTGTGAGCCCGTGGTCCCACATCCACGCCCGCCACGGCCCGCTCCCGGAGATGCG